AAAAAGGGCAGGACGACCGCTATCAACACGATCACAGCGGTTGTGAAGGACGGCAAGACGCACGTCAACAAGGACGGAAAGACGCTGTTGGAGGAGTGCATGGAGGATGAGGCTATGGACGACATTGAGAGTTTAAACCCATCCCTCCATGAGGATTTTGAGGACATGGGTAACTCAACCCAGACCCCAAATGAGGCTCTCCAAGATATGGACCAACTCGAAGATGAGGTACGTAAACAAAATGCATCGTACTTAAAAACGTTAAAGCGGTTAACCGTAACCGATGATATGTGGGTGGTCGACACTGGTGCACGCCGAGCTATAACATCAGACAGAAGCTGGTTTACTGGGAAGCTCCGACCTGGCCAGAATACCGTGTTCACTTACGGTAATGGAACTGTTTCACGCAGCTCTCTTAAAGGATCAATAAAACTTAGCGTTTTGACTCCAAAAGGAAGATTAAGTGATATATCATTGACAGATATTTCGTTTGACCGACAGTGTGATAGCAACTTACTCAGTTCATATTACCTTGCTCGGCACGGTTATAGACACCTACAGTCTAAATCAGGTGATTTTCTTTTCTTTTTAGGAAAGAACTTTAAATTGCTGTTTGCAGCTGTGGCAATAGGCGAAGTCTACTACTTACCGAGCGCGAAACCAGCTAGAAAGAGTGCTTTTAATGCTCAACTAAGCAAAGTTGGAGACATACTAAAGGAATGGCATCTCAGATTAGGCCATGTGGGCAAAGAACGCCTAATTAGAAGCATGAGCAATCAGAAACTAAAGGGGTTACCTAACCTCTCTTACTCAGAACTCAAGAAAGTTTCATTCTTTTGTAGTACATGCGCCTCAATGAAGGATCGCAGAATGTCCTACAGGAATTTGATAGGAAACAAATCAACAGAGCCATTGCACACTCTGCACATGGACTCTACTGGAAGGTTGAGGGTTAATGGACTGTATGGTTCCTTCGGTTATCGGTATGCCCTTGCAGTGGTAGATGATGCCACTGCCTATAAGTGGTATTTTGCAGTAAAATCCTTGAAAGAGGTTCGAGGCAAAATCCGGACCCTCTTAAAACAGTTGGAAGTACAGTTTCCCTTATTTAAGGTTCGCAGAATTAGGACAGACGGTGGGACTGAGTTCCTAAACAGTGAGGTTTCTAAACTGTGTTCTAAACTCGGTCTAGATTTCCAAAGCTCTAACGTCGAATCCCAAGAAGAAAATGGGAGTGCTGAAAGAGCACATCAAACCATGATGGCTGGTGTGCGCTGTGCACTTCGAGGGGCCAATATGCCAGCAAAGTGGTGGCCCGAAGCTCTACTCTATATTGTCGATATTACAAACCGACTACCTATGGCGAGGCTCGGGATGAAAACCCCGTATGAGCTGTTACATCGGAAACAACCCAGTGGTTTAGCATTTAGGATCTGGGGCTCAAAGTGTTTCGCACATG